TTCCTATCTTCTTTAGAAGTGTAAGACATACTTTGATGGACTTTTTCTTTGCCACAGCAAAGTTCTCAGTTCTAGTTCTATTCCTTCCTCTAATTTTCATTTTTGTTTTTTATTTATTTTTATTTTCTGAGACAGAGTCTTCTCTGTTGCCCAGGCTGGAGTGCAGTGGTGCAATCTCAGCTCATTGCAACCTCTGCCTCCCAGGTTGAAGTGATTCTCCTGCCTCAGCCTCCTGAGTAGCTCGGCTGATGGGTGTGCACCACCATGCCCAGCTAATTTTAATTTTTAGTAAAGACAGTGTTTCACTATGTTGGCCAGATTAGTCTCAAACTCCTGACCTCAAGTGATCCACCCTGCTCAGCCTCCCAAAGTGCTGGGATTACAGGCATGAACCACTGCACCAGGCTTCTTCCTCTAATTTTAAATGGATTTTTAGAATGAGTTATTTGAAATCAACTTAAAAAATTGGACCTGATCTTCCTTGGTAGCAAGTTTTATAGTGGATATAGGTCTTACATCTTGAAATGATCTCCTCAGCCCACTAGGAAGTCCTATTGGAAAGACTTATGTAGTACTGTTTATACAGTAAATAAATTTCATCTCTTTGGAGTTTGTGTAACAAAAAAAACAAAGACTGAATAACAGTCTTCCTGAGCAGGAGTGTGCAGAAGGAAAAGATGGCCCTGACTTTGGCTAACACTCAGGACTGCTCTTCATCTCATTCTCTCGGCACTCGGCAGGCATGTGAAACACACAGCAGGCATCAAGCAAATGTTGACTCTTATCACCTAGAGTCCAGTTCTGATTATGCCATTAGGTGTACTACAGCAAGTCAGCTTTCCTTTACTAGCCTGCCTTAGAATCATATATTCAATGGGGGGGGGGGGTGGAGAGAGAGAGAGAGAGAGAGAGAGAGAGAGAGAGAGAGAGAAAGAGAGAGGAGAGAGAGATTGAGAATGCGTATGCACTTATCCTTGGCTCGTAATTATTTAAGTCAAAGAGATATTAGGTTGGATTAAGAGTTTCCTGAGAAGATTTTTCTCATCTAAGCATTCAGAGTTAGAACTCAAGGGATACAAACAGCCCACAGATATCTTGTTAGGCTTGCTGAAACTTGCTAAATATTTTTTATAACTATGCATTAATTGCCAACATTTAAAAATTGAGATATTACATATAAAAAGGACAGGTACCAAGTATTCTTGAAGCCAGGTTGAAGAGCAGGGCTGAAAACAGGAGTTGAAACCATATATAAAGCATGGTTAATACTCTTACCCTGAGTCCCCATGGCCAGAAAACCATCCTTTCTCCACATAAGTAGAGGTCTAAGGGTTATCAGTTGACACTGACCCAAAGAAGTTTTACAATGGGGACACAAGGCATAGCTGGGGATGCGATTAAACAAAATTCTTCATATAGATCTACAAGACCCACAGGCCTATTTCCCTTTTTGGCTCTCAGAGACATAGTTTAATTACCAGGCAAATACTCTCCAGAGAGGAGAACGAAGATTCCTCTTTTGGGAAGCTGACTGATTTCAATAGTAGAAAGTCAACAGAGAATGTCTAATACTGAAAATCAAAAAATATTATGAGCATGTTATAGGCAGAGGTAGAGAAAGGAACTGTTGTGCTTTTAAAAAATAAGCTTTTTAATATTATTCGATTTAAAAATTATATAGCTTATTGCTTTGACAAAAAGAAGTACTTAATTATAAAAATTGTAGAGGTAATAAAAAAACAAGAAGGAAGAATAGAATGAAAAACAGAAGATTCATGAATAAGAAAAAATAAGCAGGGCGCGGTGGCTCAAGCCTGTAATCCCAGAACTTTGGGAGGCCGAGGCGGGTGGATCACGAGGTCGAGAGATCGAGACCATCCTGGTCAATATGGTGAAACCCCGTCTCTACTAAAAATACAAAAAATTAGCTGGGCATGGTGGCATGTGCCTGTAATCCCAGCTACTCAGGAGGCTGAGGCAGGAGAATTGCCTGAACCCAGGAGGCGGAGGTTGCTGTGAGCCAAGATCGCGCCATTGCACTCCAGCCTGGGTAACAAGAGCGAAAACTCCGTCTCAAAAAAAAAAAAAAAAAAAAGAAAAAAGAAAAGAGGCCAGGCACAGTGATACTATCTATAGTCCCAGATACTCAGGAGGCTCAGGCAGGAGGATCACTTCAGCCTAGGAGCTCAAGGCTGTATGTAGTATGCCATAATTGTGCCTGTGAATAGCCACTGCCATCCAGCCTGGGCAACATAGCAAGACCCTGACTTTTTTTTTATTTGAGACAGAGTTTCGCTCTTGTTACCCAGGCTGGAGTGCAATGGCACGATCTCGGCTCACCGCAACCTCTGACTCCTGGGTTCAGGCAATTCTCCTGCCTCAGCCTCCTGAATAGCTGGGATTACAGGCACGCACCACCATGCCCAGCTAATTTTTTGTATTTTTAGTAGAGACGGGGTTTCACCATGTTGACCAGGATGGTCTCGATCTCTTGACCTTGTGATCCACCCGCCTCGGCCTCCCAAAGTGCTGGGATTACAGGCTTGAGCCACCGCGCCCGGCTGCAAGACCCTGACTTTAAAAAAGAGAGAGAGAAAAGAAAAAATATGTGCATGGGATCTGTCAGAATATTGGCAGAAAGGCTGAATCCCCAAATTAAACAAGACTTGCTAAAAGTAATCTAAAAAGGTACTTTTGTTACATATAGAGCAAGATGATGATCGAAGGGACAGACTTACAGTGATTGATGATGTAATGCTGAAGAATAACACAGAGAAAACAAACCCTCAATTATGGTTAGTGAATCCAACAACAAGGAGAGTCATAAAGTCCTGTCCTTGTGCACTAAGAAGCCCAAGTATCAAGTAAAGGATAGGGATGCAGAACCAACCACAACCCACGTGGAAAGTATTAACAGAGCATGGGTTCTGTGGCCTCTAAAAAAACCTTATGTGACGCTGGATGTAAAGGAGCCAAAGATTTTTATCTGGCCTGGTCAGACCAAATCTGCTAGATGTATTCAGTTAATCCATAAACAGAGGTAGAACAAATTCAGCAGAGAAAATCAGTACGGCAGAGGAACTGACATAATTTTTTTAGGAACTACTAAATAAACTTAGGGGTACTATCTCTGGAGAAGATCTAGAAGGTGACATGAGAACTTCCTTAAAAGAGGGGAAAGGGACACTAGGGATGCATGTGCACAGAGAACAGTGAGAAGGTGGCCAAGGAGAGAGATGTTGAGAGAAACCAAACCTGCCAGCAAATTAATCTTGGACTTCTAGCCTCCAGAACAGTAAGAAAATTAATTTCTGTTGTTTAAGCCACCCAGTCGGCGATACTTTGTACTGCAGCTCTGGCAGACTAGATGGTCCGTATCCTAAATCAGTAAAGAAAGCAGCAGGGGGCTGGGCACAGTGGCTCATGCCTATAATCCCAGCACTTTGGGAGGCCAACGTGGGACAACCACTTGAGCCCAGAGTTTGAGGCTACAGTGAACCAAGTTCATGCCACTCCACTCTAGCCTGGACAAGAGAATGAGACTCTGTCTCTTACGAAAAAAACAAAAAAGAAGAAAGAAGAAAGAAGAAAGAAGAAGAAGGAGGAGGAGGAGGAGGAGGAGAAGAAGAAGAAAGAAGAAGAAAGAAAGCAGCAGGGAGAAAAAAAAAAAACTATGATACTGTTGCTAATTCTTTCCTATTCTCTCTATTCAAACCTTCCGGAGAACAGTCCTGGGGAGAAGGAGGATTATCCACTTTCTATTTTTAAAGTCACATTAACTTAATAATTAAAAGCTTTTCAAGATGAGGTAAAAGATACAATTAAACCCAAAGATTACTTCTCAACTAATCAAGCTACAATTTACAGGGCTGGAAGACTTGCATCCACAACGACCTCAAGTGCTACAACATCACTTTCTGTTCAGGTAGACTGCTGCTGTTCCATTTGATTGTGCTTCAGAGGTAAGGTGTTTCACTCATGCTTTCTAAATTCTAGAAGGGAAAAAGCCCTTTTGTAACTTGTTTAGTAACTAGACCACAGCAAATGTTCATTATGCCAAAAGTGGGCCTCAGCAGGTTTTGAAAAGCAGATGTTTGGTAAGAATATTGTTAATTCAGCAACAGCCAAAAACTACCCTAAACTCTGAGCACTACTGTAGACACATTTTGTGTAATATACTTGGCATAGTCCTTTAATTTTCCTAAAGGCCATTTTCCAGCTTAATGTCATGTATCACCTGGAACAGATGGTTTTATTGAGCTGTCTGAGTATTAAAAACAGACATTTTTCTACCATTAGGTAACACACATTGAGCACATGAAGATGCTATTATCAAGAATGAAGAAGATTAAGAAACAAACCATCCTAAGGAAAAAAAAAAAACAGTAAGTAGAAAGAATAAAAAGGTATGTATGATCCACACTGTTTGAAAGACCAGGTGGCTTAAATACAAATTTATGGGAAGCTGCAGTCTTTTTTCAGAATACAACTAGAGCAAATGTAGAAATATTTCTTACTAATTTCTTTGATGTCCTGGGTCAACAAAGCCCCAGGAAACATACCTGTCCATCAACAGAGAAAGCTTCCCTTTAGTTAACATGACCAGGGAGGACAAAGGAAAGAAACAGCCCTACCAACTGTTTGTAAAGTAATAAGCAAGAATATGGAGATGGATGATAAAAGCAAAGTGTGTAAAAGCAAGATAAAAATATTCCAGATGTGAAATAGGAGATTTGAAATAAAGGAGTTATATGAAGTCTGAAGAAAGGCTCTTAGGAGGAGAAAAAAATCTAGGCATCATTTATATCAGATAGGTTATGTCTGAGGAATACAGTTTAATCTGGTTTCTAATTTTTATTTTTAAATTTCCTTTGGTCACAGCTTATGTTAGAAAAGAAATGCTGTCCCCTACTGCTGAAGATCCATCCCCTCAGGGCACAGCATGCCAAAGGTCAACAGAGCCAGCAATAGCAGTACGTTCAAGCAAAAGATATACTCACCTGCTTCTGGATCTGCAGGAATTCTCCACATGTACAGGTTGAAGTCATCAGAGCCTGAAAGGATATACTGTTGGAACAAAATATATGTATATATATATATAACATTATATATTATAATCTATAATAATAAATACAATATTTAATATAACAAACATATTGTTTGTTTTGAGACAGAGTCTTGCTCTGTCATCCAGGCTGGAATGCAGCGGCATGACCTCAGCTCACTGCAACCTTTGACTCCTGGGCTCAACTGATTTGCCTGCCTTAACCTCCTGAGTAGATGGGACTACTGGGACTACAGGCACATGCCACCACGCCCAGCTAATTTTTTTGTATTTTTCAGTAGGAATGGGGTTTGACCACGTTGGCCAGGCTGGTCTCAAACTCCTGACCTCAGGTGATCCGCCTGCCTTGGCCTCCCAAAGTGCTAGGATCACAGGTGTGAGCCACCACAACCAGGCTAAACATATTGATTTTTAATATATCTATCTGTACAGAGATTTCTTTTAAATAAACAAGATAAATAGGCATATAAGGAACCACACAGCAAGCACTCTTAAAAATATCTGCCTATCAAAAGACTTGTTAGCTAAAACCCAGCAACAACAACAACAAAATGACCCAATTCAAAAAGGGGCAAATTTGACAGTTCTCCAAAGAAATATACAAATGGCTAACAAGTACATGAAAAGATGCTCAACATTACTAATAATCTGAAAAATGCAAATTGAAACCATAATGAAATACTATTTCACACCCATTAGGATGACTATTATAAAAAAATGACAAATATTGGCAAGGATGTGGAGAAAAAGTGGGAACCCTTGTGCATTGCTGGTGGGAATGAATAACAGAGCAGCTACTATGGAAAGGAGTATGGCAGTAACTCAACAAGTTACACACAGAATTACCATATGATGCAGGAATTACAATCCTAGGTAAATATCCAAGAATTAAAAGCAGGACTCTAACAGATATCTGTATATCCATTTTCATAGCAGCATTATTCACAATAGCCAAAAGGTGGAAACAACCCAATGGTCTACTGACAGATGAATGAATAAACAAAATGTGGTAATATACACAATGGAATATTATTCAGCCTTTAAAAGGAAGAAAGTTCTGACATGTGCTACAACATGAATAAACCATGATATTATGTTAAATGAAATAAGGCAGAAACAGACAGATACTGTATGACTCCATTATATGAGGCACTTAGAGTAATGAAATTCACAGAAACAGAAAGCGGTTGCCAGGAGCTGGGAGGAGGGAGAATGAAGAGTTAGTGTTTAGTGAGTACAGAGTTTCAGTATGGGATGATGATGAAGTTCTGAAGATAGATACTGGTGATGGCTACATAGTAATGTGACTGTACTTAATGCCACTGAATTGTGTATTTTTAAATGGTTAAAATGGTAAATCTCATGTTATGCATATTTTACCACAATTAAACAAACTTTTTTAATGCAGAATGTAAAATCTAGGAGCTTCCCAGAGATCTTTTATGCAAGGCCAAGTATCCTGAACTTCCCTACTGCCAGCTTATATCTTTGAGCAGGAAGCCATCACCAACATGGCCATGAATTAGTGTCTTGGCATAAGCAATGATCTTTTATGTGGCAGCTCCAAACTGCTTGCTCTTAAAAAGACAGGACATTGTGCCAGACCTACTCTAATTTGAACTCATAAAAGCATTTTCTAACATTATCTAATAATAACCAGAGAGTAATTCTGAGAGTTCATTTATTTCCAAAGATTAACATAAGTGTTTTACTTTGAGTTGAGGTCAGCATTACTTCTTCCTGCCTTTTATCCCCATTTGCTCATTTCCCTGAAAAGAAAGGCATACTGTTTTCCTTTTGTGTGTGTGTATGTGACAGGGTCTTGCTGTGTTGTCCATGCTAGAGTACAGTGGCATAATCTGGCTTATTGCAGTCTCGACCTCCTGGCTCCTGGGCTCAAGTGATCCTCCTGCCTCAGCCTCCCAAGTAGATGGATTACAGGCATGCACCACACCACCCAGCCTATTTATTTATTTATGAGACAGAGTCTCACTCTGTCGCTCAAGTGATCACCCTGCCTTAGCCTCCCAAGTAGCTTGGACTACAGGCGGGCACCACCACATAGCTAATTTTTTTGTAGAGACAGAGGCCTCACTTTCATTGCCCAGGCTGGTCTCAAATTTGAGCTCGAGTGACCCTTCTGCCTCAGCCTCCCAATGTGTTGGGATTATAAGCATAGGCTACAGCACCTGGCCAGGCCTAGAGTTTTCTAAAGACATCATACTTGAAAATGACATCAAACAATCCCCAAAAAGTATAAGTCCAATATACACACAACCTCCTGCCTAACATAAATTACTAAATACTGTGCAACCACTTAAAATCAATTTCCTAGTCTTCAAAACACTTAAGTGAACATAAGAAAAAATGTAAACGGAGGTAAGTTTAAATGCTATACATAAGGGCTAGGTAATCTTCCCAGGGCACAGTGGAAAAAGCAGTGAGTTCAGTTTCTTTATCTGAAAAATAAGAGAACTGGACTGATGACTCTGTGAGGCTCATTTAATTCTAAGATTCTATGATTACTCTGAAGGAATGGTGGAAGCTGAATTAGACCTCAAAAGTCTCTAAGCTGCCAGCCCAAGTGATTTGATAAGTCACTCCACAAACATGCTCAAGACAAGGACACTCATAAGACTAATCTTGTTAAACTTTAATCAATAACAACAAAAAACATAATTTAAAAAATGAGCAAAGAACTTGAATAGACATTTCTCCTAAGAAGTATAACATGGCCGTACACAAATGGCCAATAGGCACATCAAAAGATGTTCAACACCACTGATTATTAGGGAAATGCAAATCAAAACAATGAGATACCACCTCATGCTCATTAGCATGGTTACTATCAAAAAAACAAAAACCCAGAAAATAGTTTCTCAAAAAATTAATGACAGAATTATCATATGATCCAGCAATTCCAATTCTGGGTATATATTTAAAAGTACTGAAAACAGGATCAGAGATACGTGCAGCCTATGTTCATAACAGCACTGTTTACAATGGCCAAGAGGTGGAATCAATCCCCCATGTGTCCATCAACATCAGCCTTAACAAGGAAGGAAATTCTGACATATGACATAACATGGGTCAACTCTGAGGGCATCACATCATGCTAACTGAAATAAGCCAGTCACAAAAGGACAAATACTGTATGATGCTACTAGAGTAGTCATGAAAATTCAGACACAAAGTAGAATGGTGGTTGCCAGGGCCTAGTGGGAGGGAAAATGGGGAGTTGGTGTTTAGTGGGCACAGAGTTTCAGTTTGAAATGAAGTTCTAGAGATGGATGGTGGTGGTTATACAACAATGTAAATGTATGTATTTAATACACTAAAATGTACACTTTTTTTTTTTTTTTTGAGACAGAGTTTCTCTCTGTTGCCCAGGCTGGAGTATAGTAGTACAATCTCAGCTCACTGCAACCTCCATCTCCCTGATTCAAGCGATTCTCATGCTTCATCATCCCCAGCAGCTGGGACTACAGGTGGGTGCCAACATTTCCTGTTATATGTTTAAAATGGGCTATAAACTTCATGTGGAATTCCTGCTACCCTGCCCCCAATACCACTGCAAAATAAACAAACAAAAAAATGGAAAAAGAGTGAGCCCAGTGGGCTTATAAGGGGTTTTACTATTTCATCGTGAAGCATAAGTGCTTTCCTATTTCTTTAGCTACGGCAAAGTCATGAGAAGGGAAAACGAGATTCCCAGACAGAATGCTGACTCAGAAGACTGCCTCAGAAGGAAGAAAACTCTCCGAGAGTTAAGGCCTTTTGGGTTTAATATGACAGCTCTGAAAATATGCAGAAAGTGCATAGAATGTACAGGCTTCCTCTTGGGGATAAAGGCAACTCCTGACCTCTCTTCCTCTTGGAACTGTTCTTCCACCCACCAAAAGAGAACAACTTGGGATAATTTTCAGGGAGGGCATCTTGCCTCGCTGCCATCTAGTGAGGGCATTTAAGTGTTCTCACACTCTGGAATCACAAAACTGTCCTGTGGAATTCATTATGGCATTTCACAGTTGTCTGCTGGATGCCTTCTAGCATTAAAAGTTGGCTGCCTAGGGTACTGCTGACTGTGAAGAATAGAAATAAAAGTGAGGTCATTTCTTTATTCATTAAACAAATATTTATTGAATGTATGATCTGTGTTGGGCATTGTTCCAGGGAAGGGAAGGCAGAGTTGATCAAAAGAGATACCGTCTCTGTCCTCACGAAGCTTATATTCTATTGGACAGGAGGGGAAAATATTATATACATATATAATGTGGGTAGAGAGCAGAAAGAACAAAAAAAGTTAAACATAAAAATATATACATATAATGTGTCCAGTGGTGACAAGTGTTATAGAAAAAAGTTAAACAGCAGGTAAGGGCATATAGGGAGTACTGGGGGTTGGGGTGTTAGTTTTTGTTTTACAGAGGGTGGTCACAGAAGGCTTCTTTGATAAAATGGTATTTTGAATACAGTCCTGAAGGAAATAAGGGAGCAAATTATGTGGGTATCTGGGAGAAAAGTATTTCAGGAGAGCAGACAGAGTTCTAGCTATTTAAAATATAAGGTAGCCATTAAGAGCTCTTTTATCTTTTTTAAGCTTTGCAGAAATAAAAATAATTTCAAGCGAGCTGAGTACAGAGATACATTTACTATCATAAGAGCAGCTGGAAAGATTCCTCTCTTCTAAAGCTTTGTTGAAAGGGTCATCCCCTCCTGGACTTGGGCTGGTTGGGGCCACCGAGTGGGGCCCTGCTGATGGTTAGTGCTTAAGAGGACCACCAGGGCACTGCAGGTCTAGGTGGGCCATCTCACAAATATTTGCTGTGGGGTACACAGAAAAATAAGGAAGAAAACAAAGACCAAACAGTACCAATGGCACTGTTTCACTACCTGAAGAAATAAACCCAAAGTACTTCATTATATTACAACGTAAGAAACACAGTAATTAATTCAATTAACCAGAAAACTGAACTTCACCTCAGTGGTGAAATTGGAGGCA